TCTTGGCATCTAATTTACATTTCACATTTCGTAAGTAACTCAAAGTATGATCTAAGTGTTAGATTGATGGGATGAGGTGTCAATCGCTATGTAACTTTTTTGAGTTCACGAAAAATAGAAGATCACGCTAACAAATTTACACATTGGATATTCAATCCGGGTGTCAGTCATCGATATATAAACTATAGATACAAGAGAGCACTTCAAGCACAAGTTATCTGTCTTCGCTTGGGCATTTTCTCCATGTTCTCGGAAACTGCTGCTGTTAAATTTGGATCTTCAAATCCGACCTCAGAGCCAAGCCTGCACAGAAGCACAAAGCAAAATTTGAGTAAAAAAACAAGTATTGTCAGACAAGGAATATCTATAAAATAATATATAAAGGAATAGGATTAACTGCTGGTTTTCTTACTTTGGATCAAGTACTAATTTTTGAACTTCTTTAATAGCCGAACTTGCCGCATAAAGCGATATCTTTCCTACCTGAATTGAAACCAAATGAATTCTCAGAAACAATACTTTATGCATACCACATAGGCCCTACAAGAATAGGACACTAGAAAGGAACGGAGCATAATAAAAATAAGGTCCCTGTCTGCATATTGGAAAAATATTTTCTTCTGACCTCCAATACTTGAAGTTTTACTTCATGGTCATTTGGGAGACAACGAATTTCTTCCGCCAATTTTACAGCCTCCCCCAGGCTTTCAGGAGATAAAAAGTCGAGGCCTAACTGAACCGTGGACTGAGAAAACACACACAATAGACGTAAATAATAAAGATGATCTCAAAAACTGAACTTGTGCTGAAGATCTAGTATACCCCATATCTTCAAAAAGAACAAGAATGAAGATCAAGTATTTAGATTTCTTTATCCAATTCCTGTGGATCTGGTTTTCTTTTATATTTTTCTTTTTCTGCTGAAGAATACGTGTTCTAATTCAACATTCAGGAGGTCAGCAATCTATTCTTGCTGTTTTTCCTACCAGGAAAATAACACACACGGAATATGTACCAAACGAAGTAGCATCTCGAGCAAGAATATAACATTTTCCCCCCATGTAACTAGTTCCTATGGAATCCTCACATTCAATCAAGGATAAACAGTAACGTACATTTAAAAATTTAAATCTTCCTATTTCATTTGAAATTGCGGGAGTTTTGATTGAAAAACATCAATTTCTCTGTAAAATACATGCTCATATGTCCTCACCTGAAGATTCCTAACTTGGAAAGGGCATCCAGCTGGTACAAAAACAGCTTGCCCCGGATGCTGTTCAAAGGACCATGGCTCTATTCCTGCAAGAGAAGAAGATACTATTCTCATCTATAAAAGAAGATTCAGCAACTAAATCAGGAGAAGAAACAACTGGTGTAGACAGAATAACACTAGAAATTTTGGATTGTGTTGCAGAATAGAAGCAACTAGACATGCATGAAACCGTCCACGAAAAATCAAGTTGAGTTGGAAGCAACCTACAAACTAAATTGGTGTATGTTGAATTACAAACATTTTCGTCCATAGCTTCCATTTTCTAACACATTCCTTAATATTTTCTTAAAATGGAAGGAGCATTTGAGCATAAGTCCAGGTAAGAATTCAGTTTTTGAGGTATAACATTGCTACTAGGAAGATTCATTTCTTGCAGACCACCATCTTACCAACAGTAATAATCACTGTCGTAATTCAACCCGAAATACAAAAATAAAAACAAAAAGTACTACAGAAAAATAACATCTTATAAATGGCAGTTCCAGAGCAGAGCATCAGTGTCAAGTCTAGCTCAAAACAGAGTGCTAGACTAAATAAAATACCAAATTCTTTCTTCAGTTTTCGTATCTGATGCCTATTCAGGAAATATCTTTCATCATAAAGAGGCTTTGTCACCTGTAATCCAAAATATTTTAGAACGTCAAGCACAAAATGCAAGCAAATAATCTAAAAGATGTACGATTACCAGCACAAAAAAAAGGTGTATTTGTAAAAATTTAAGAGAGCTTACAAAATCATTCTTTGCACTGTTGGGCTCCGAAAATTCTGTTTGATGTCTTCTCAGATACTGTATCAATTGTGGAACATCCCGACGGCGAAAAACATCCCATAAAACTCCTGGATGAGTCTTTACAGAGACATCTCCACCATCTCTGTTTGACAGTTCACAGCTCAAAGCATCCCCTTCAATACTAGAAGAATTGTCAATCTCTTGATCCATCATTCTCTCATCTTTATTTTCATCCAAGCTTGTGCCATATTCATTATCCAAACTGTGACTGCCAAACCTACCCTCGTCCAGACCTACACTTGGATTTCCTTGCAAATCTTTCTCCTTGGATACCTTGTCATTTTGCATATTCTCAGTCTTTATCCTCTGCTGACCATTTAGCTTTGCCTCACAGGTATGCACCAATAGATAGACCTGTACACAGACACATATATGATAAGACAAATCCTTAAATAAAAAAAACAAAAAAAAGATAAGACCAGTTCGAAGAACGAGAGTGTCCATTAAGTATTTAATAGTTGCATTAAGAGTTATGAAAGCAACTTAAGAAATCAACTACAGAACTCATACCGCGTATCAAACAAATTATCATGAGTTGTTTCTTGACCAGACAAAATAACCCTAAAAAATTAACGAGCTAAATATGAAAAGGAGAACAACTAACCATGTCGCGTATGTTGAAATGAAGATTAATTACACAGTTGCCTCTACCTAGTTCCTCATAGGTCCCATAGGAAATAAATATCTTAGGCCCTACGTCATTTTGCAAAGAGTAATGTGGCAGTTTTGCTGCAACATTCAGAAGACCCCACTTGGAGTGGATATACTCAAGTAGAGGCAATTTACTAATGAATTCAGGTCTCTGGTACAACAAGAACTCCTCAGACGCACTGGGGGGGGGCCAATCCTTCAACTTCAATATTTCTGGCTGACCATTTCCATCGATTCGTCCCTCATAGTATCCTTTTATGAACTGACCAAGTTCAATATCAACCTGCCATGATGTCAAACCACAATCGTTTATTTAGACTTATTATTCAAGATATCAATCAATCAACAAGTATTAAAAAAATAATATATATATATATATATATATTGCCAAACAAATGTGACGAAACATTTGAGGAAGAAAACAACACCGTAAGCAACCATACAAAAAAATAGCAGCTTGGGCCCACCTCAGACCAATCAAAACAGTCTATGGCCTTAACGATTCTGCTCTCATCTTTCAATTTCTCCTCCGTAGTCTCTTGCATCCCTCTCCATATTGCCATTGGATCCCAGCTCGAAACCGATGAACTATCAAAAACCTGGTTAACAATGATGGGTTCACCTCTGGCCCAATGCTTTCTAAAATCACCAATTCCGCCTGATTTAATATCTTCAGATGTGGGGCAGAACAAGAAATTATCACTGTCATCCTCCCTATTAGCATATTGGCAGTGTCTATGATCATTAAACTCAGTTTTCTCCAGTAAGCCATCATTGTATACCCTACATCCACTCACCATTTCCTCCACATTTTTCACCAGTTTTGCAACCCAATTCATCTTAAAAATGCGGCTTAAATTCAATGATGGATATCCACAGCCACCATAATCCTTTGGGGGACATGGAATGCTGCCATCACCATTCGCTTTCCAATCAGGAAACTTGTCTGAAAAGTTTTGTTTGACTCTTGGTATTTTCGGTTGCTCCAACAAGGTTTCCATTTCTTGAATTCCACCAATCTTATTATCCACAACTCCATTAATACAAGGCGTAGATGCTTCCTGAAGATCTCTACAGCAACTAAGACACAGATCGTACGAGCAATTGGCACAATGCCTATGGTAATCAATAATAGGAATCCGGCAAAAATTGCTGCAATAAGCAACACCAGAATCAAATAAAGTCGTGATCGGAAACTCTTGGACACAATTGAAGGTCGAACAACACAACATAAAACAAAATGAAATAGCTCATCAATGTTGAAAAGGTACCAGCACATCTGTTCATCTGCATTCAATCTTGTCCTGGCAAGATCTATTTCAGTTCCTGAAAGAAAACACAATATGCAGACAAAATGGTTAAAACATGTCGAGATGGTATTTAGAATGAAAGTCAAAATCAAAATTCTGTTGGAAAATCAAATGCATCTCACCACGGAGCATCTTCTCCAGCTCTACTTCAGAACACTGCTCATGGTGGATTTGCTTAACAACCGGAAGCACTGAAGACAGCAGACTATGGAGATACTGTAGTTTGTCTAAAGCAGGGATCTCTCTTATCCTTACCTACAATAGAGACAGACACAACAAACCACTGACAGATTAGCAGTTTATGTCAATAGCAAATTGGTGCATGTGTTTCACAGGCTTTTGAAACCGAGTAATCAAAAGAATAGAAAACCTTTAATCCATACCTTTATCATATTATCTCCACGAAGGCAAACTTTACAATTGCAAGTACCACGACATGCAGGGCATATTCTTTGAATATCTTCCAGTGAGATGTCTGGGTACCTAATAGGTGAAAGATATATACTAAGCACACAAGTAAACATGTAAAGAAAAGTAGTTTTGTTAAGATAATTTAGCCTCACCATGTAGAGACACAGCTATCACAGTACCCTCTTCGATTACATTTAAAACACCAAATAACGTTATCTCTCTTACTCCTTCGGCACTGATGACAAGTTTGACCACCAGTCTCTTCAGAGGATTCTGTGCTTTGATCAGAGTATTCCTGGAAGAAACTTGGTCACCTTGGAATCAGAAACATATAAGCCAAAAAGAACTAATATAAAATCACGACTAATGACGGCACTCACCAATCTCTTCAAAAGAAAATTAAGTCTAATTAAATTTTGATAGCAATGGTTATCCAATATTAGTCTTTTTTATTATTATAACTATTTTTCTGGAAAGACAAGTCCACATCAAGGGTTAGCTGACCCGTGCTATCCAAGAGATATGCATACTCATCTAAATGATGAGGGTTTTTTTTTTTTTTTTCCCCCGATTAAAGTCCAACTACTTCTTAGTGAGAAAATTTTCCTTGTCATATGTTAGTAGTATTATAACTACATTGAGAACAACAATAGTAATCAAAATACTAAATGAACAGACAAACATATTTGGAATTCAACATACCGAAACTGTTGTTGCATTAGCATCCAAGATCCTCTGTGACCTGTTCCCGGATAAATCCATAGCAGAAACAGGTGGTGTCTTATATGACCTCCAATTATTCTCTTCATACAGCTCAATATCTAACTGCGAATCATCATTCTGTTTTGGAGGATTACGTATTGAAAAACTCCTCACTGGTGGTGTCTCGGGTGTGTAGCGGAACTTATTTTTTGGTGCCCTCTCTGAGTACTTTTTCCCGGAGGCCTGAAGAGGATACTCTTTCATGTTCACAAGTGGTACATCAAAATCGTCACTCTTACTCTCCAAGTAAATATCACTTTCACCCAATGACTTCCTCTTAGCTTTCTTCAAATTAGCCCGCATTGCGGAATTCGCTGCCCTCTTCTTTGCCTGGATATAGTGCTTTTCGCATACCGTCTTATCTGGCATAGACATGGCAGTGCATCTCCATTGTTTCCCATCTGACCTCTTGCAACGCAAATCATCCGGAATCCCGACGTTATCCTCGCCAGTCCCGGTAGTTGATCGTGGATGATCCATTACCAAATGAATGGCTGCTTTATCAAATCGAGAATCTTCTACTGCTAAAAGCAGACCTGAAATAAGTCCTTTAGCTTAGTAAAAAAATCAATTAAAAACAACGGGAAGAAATGTATGCTGAGAATTACAGACATTCCAAACAAACAGGAATTCTGTAAAAACATTAACCAAAGACAAACTTTCAAGGAACACTAGCATCAATACACTGATGAATAGAAAAACTACCACAACCACACGTCAAAACAAAACCTTGCTCCAAAGATGTTATATGCCAACGCCTCATACCTTTTCATTGCCAATGTACATATTTGATCATAATATATTCGAAAGAAAACTCTCAATCTAATTAATGATAACCCAGTTTAACGTTCTCATTGGTAAAGCTTTTACCAAGTAAAGCAAACCATCACATTGTATGTTGTATGCAAATTTATAAATATAAAGCCAACTTTCAAGGAAGATAATAGAAAAGTTCGAAAATTTCATGAAAAATTAAAGTACATTTCACGCAATTTTTGTCTTTGATTAAAAATTAAATCAAATTCATACAATAATCAAAACCATAAAAAGTCTTCAAATTTATAAAAATCTTTCCATATCTAGCGAACAAGAAACATTGTGATGGGAAAAAAAAAAAAAGGTTTACACAAGAACGCAAATTTGATTAAACAAGAAGCAAACGAATTAATAATATTTCAAACCTTTTATTTACCTAAAAGCGAAATAACTCAAATTGGGAGCGAGCACGACCAGATCCTCCGAAAGAATTTCGAGCACAAAACACGCCATAAAAGAGGGAAAAAAACGCAATAGAGTATATATCATGCATTTATACAAACATATACGGCAAAAAAAACAAAGAAAAAAAATTAGTACCTAAAACTTAGGGTTTGGTTGGGTTTCTATGAAAGCGAAACTTGGCAATATACGTGATTGTGAATTTAGTGAAGCCACGAAATCCAGCCTTCATATTTCAGAGTTGAAGAGAAAAAGAAGAGAAGAGAAGGAAACAAATAAAATAAGGGAAGGTTTTCAAAGTGAATTTTGTTTAGTCGTAGGAAGAGGATTGACTTGTTCTGTTCTTCGCTATACAGAACCAGACCAGTGATCCTCTCTTTCCTTTTTTTTTTTCTTTAATTTTTTTTAAACTAAAAAATTTATTTCCTCGTAACTCCCTGGTTTCTTTCTCCGACAATTTTTAGTTAACCAGAAACTCAGCCAGTCGGCCGTTAGGCCCGTTACCAGTATCGTTTTTTTTTTCCCACAAAAACGAATTAGGGAAATTAGAGAATTGTCCCTTTATTTTTTTTATATTTTTTTTATAATGAATGGCTGAATAAATAGTATCTGTTTTTTAAAGAAAAATACATCTCATAATTGATTTTTTTATTATTATTATGTTTCAATTTTAGTCATAGTTTAAATATTTGAGACTAAAATTAAGAACATAAAAGGTCAATATTTGAGATTAAAATTAGAAACATAAAAAAAAATCGATATTAAAATGGCACTTGATATAAACATCCTTTTTTTATATATATTCAAATTCAAGCTCCATCTCGGCTTAGTTTGGTATTAATGTAGATTTTAAAAAAATTACTTTTAGCTATGCGTAAAGAAAAATAATTGTTACAAAAAGTAACTAAGTATTTAGTAAATTATAATTATAGTAGCTGTGCTAGTTTTAAAATCAGTGTAATAGCATTTAGTAAATTATGATGTTGAATTGTTGTGGACTGTTAAAAATTACGACTTTATTATATTATACTATAATATAATAGGAATTATCTCTGGTCAGACACTTGGAATTGTGCCTAACTGGAACGGAAGTTGTATAATGCTGCATAAATCGTGTATATTTACATGTAAAATTGTATATATTTACATGTAAAGATGTATATGTTAAGTTATAAGAAACGACAATGTATATTAATCCTCGAAACATATATTTTTTATAGCAATTAAGTGAACACATAGCATAAAAATATATATATTGGTATACATTGTCGCTTACGTTCATTAACATGAAATACAACAAATCAGCCAATATACATCTTTTTATGCTATGTGTTCACTTAATTGCTATAAAAAATACACATTTCGAGCATTAATATACATTATTATTTCTTATAACTTAACATATACATCTTTACATGTAAATGTACACGACTTTACATGTAAATATACACAATTTATGTAGAATTATACAACTATTATTTAAATCCAACAAATAATAAGTGTCAGTTTAAAGACCTTACCTAATATAAGATATATAATTACAATATAATATATATTTATTATTATATATAATATAATAAAAAACTATTATTATTATTATTATTTAATATATTATATAATTATGATATAGAATATAATAGTATTATTAAAATAATAACTGAAATAATTGAAAAGT